ACGGTGCCGGTGTATTTGGGCGTGTCTCGAGGGAGCGTGAACCCTTTGGGAAAGGGCTCATCTCAGATGCGGGGTCCGAAACAGGGAGGACCCAACTCGTCTTGTTCTTCCAGCGCCAGGGATCGGTGGAGTCGGTCGATCCGGTGGCGGGCATCGTTCTCTCCGACTCCCTCCCGGCGGCCAAGGCGGTCGCCGAGAGTCGGATGCTCTACAGGTGGCGGGGAGACTCGCCTTTCTCTGCGAGGAGGGGGAGGCAGATAGTCGTCCCGCTGTTCCATCGCTTTGGGGCGGCCGTCTTGGTCGCGCTCGATGGTGATGCGAGTCCGACTGTGGCTAACAGCCGGCTCCTTGTCTTTCTTTCCGCGGACCCCGCCAGTCGGCGTCCGAGACGTCGCACCTTGATCTCGGCGGGGTGGCGGGTCGTCGTTTTGTCGCCGCGGCGCCTCCGTGCGGCAGCCAGCTTCGTTCTGCGCGGCAGCCGCGTCGAGAAGCTGCTGAACTCGCTCTGTCATCATGCGGCGCTCTTCGCCCTCGAAGTTGTCGAGCTCGTCCGCCACCGCCTGGGCGGCGCGGATGTTCTCCGCAGGCGTGGCATATACGGGGCGATCGGCCCCGAACAGATTGGCGTTGGCCCCGCCGCATTGCCGGACCGCGCCAAGGCAGCTAGGCCCAGTCGGAGCCGGCGAGCCGCCCACGGCGCGATCCATCTCACGTTGGTAGGCCTCCGACAGGCGTCTCATGCTTGCCAGCTTATTCGCGCCCTCGATGAGCTGAAGGAGGCGCGCCTCCAGCGTCTCGGCGTTGGCGTCTCCCGGAATCGGCACAGACAGATCTCGCAGAGCCGCGTCGAGCAGGTCATGAGCTCCCTCGCCGGAACGCTCGCCGTGATCGAGGACGAGGACCTCCGTGATGGTGCTTCCGCCGCTCTCCGCATAAGGGAGCGTCTCGTCGTAGACCACCACGTTGGTGGGGAACGCGTCGAGCGACGCGGTGTCGGAGTCGACCAGCATCGGGTCGGTGGATCCTATGGACTCCAGGTCCACGGCAGGCTCGCCGGCGACGTGGAGTTGGTCGAGGAGACCCGCGAGGAGGCTCTCGGGGCCGCTCGTGCCTGCGTCGGATGCAGGCTCATTGGAGAGGCGAACCTCGCCGATAAGCTCGGTGAGGCAGCTGGCCGCGCAGGCAATCTCAGCGCCGTGCAGTGCGTCGGCGCAGACGCTATCTGGCGTGCCGGGCTGGCTGTGCTCGCCAGGGAGGAAAAGGGTTCCCGTCCAGAGCAGGTCTCCGGACGACGGTGCACCTCGCCCCACGGTGGGCGCCAAATGCCGGGGGTTGGGTACGACATATGCCAAAGGATCGCTTATCATGGTGGGAGCAAGTAGAACGTTGCCGGTGCCCGGAAGCGGGATGAGGCGAAGACATGCACGCCGGCGGATCTTACCCAGTTTCAGGGCTCTCCGTGGAGATAACACCCCTACTGCTGCTCTGCGGGGTCTCCGCATGGTCACTATGGTAAAGTGGATACAATGGTGCTCCTAGAGCTGTTTCTGGAGGTAGGAAAGGGCAAGGCTAGCTCTCTCTTACCTATGTTCTAGGGTCTACTGCTATCTGGATCCGAACCCTTTGCATGGGCTCCCCGGGGGTTTATATAGGCCTACCCCCAGGGGGACAACGATAATCCGGCTGGGCGCGGGTCCCAGCCGTCTGTCTCTCAGGCCGTTGTCCTTTCCGCCGACTACTGGGGCCCGCCGACTGGCGGGCCCCGCGGACAGGCCTGGTACTGTAGCGGTGCTTTTGATGACGCTGGCTTGGTCATGAGGTCATGGCAACAGTGTCGCCGTCTGGCGGGCGTTGACTGTCGCCATTCCCCGTCTTGTTTGATTAATGGCGTGCGGGGCCCGTGGGAGGGGCCGGCCGACTCCAGGGGGCCGACTCCCACGGGTCCGGCTTCAGGGCGCTCTTACCGTCTTCGGTTCACCCGCCGACAGGCGGTCCCGTCGTCCTTGGATCGTACGAGTGGGCGTCGTGGGCACAGTGCGCTGCCCAGGGAGGCTGAGGTCAGGGCCGGCATGGCAACAGTGCCGTGCCACGATGGAGATTTCCTACCATACGGCGCGCTGTAGCCATGCTGGTCCTTTGAAGGCAGGGTAGAGACGGCCACGCAGTGACCGTTCCCCGCCCTGTCCACTGTGGCGCAGGCAGGGGGTGGTTGGAGTCGCGAGCCGACTACCCTCAGCCGGCTTCTCTGGAAGTCGTCAGGTGAGAGTCGGCTTATCTTGGAGTCGTCCCTGGGACTCGGCATATCTTGGAGTCGTCCCTGGGACTCGGCTTGAGAGGCGCAGCCTGTCCCGATATCTTAAAAGGTTCTGGGGCTCAAGTTGGCCTACTCGTGGCTCATTACTCCGACAGCAACGGCGTCCGCTGCTCTATTCTAATCACCAGCTAGCGAAGGGAAGAGCTGTACATGTCGTACTCTATAGAATCACGCCAAAACCCAAGATTGTTGCTCGCTACGTAGAGTACGGTTTGTGTGTGTCGGTGTGGCGTGGGAATTGCTAATGCATCATGTGTGGGGTACAATTGCATCCAGGGAACATGCCATTTTGTTATGAACTTTGGCTGGAAATACTCGCTCTGTTTTCTTCTCAATTATATATTGTTCAGATTTGGCCATTGGCATGCACATAACAACTTTTGCAAAAAGGATAAAATATATTATAAAGATTCACCGGAAGTACAAAACACCTCAACTATAATGAAAATTACATCAAGGTCCTTGAACCACCGAATGACCATTGCCACCACGAAAACGAGCCGCCGACGCGCTGTCGGGAAGTCTTCGTGCACGCGCCCTAAGGACCAGCGTCCCGGAGCCGCGGTTGTTGCCGTTGAATTCTTGAATAAATCTGAAGAACCTGACACCAGATATCGCCGTTGCATAAGCACGACGAGAAACCCTAACCTCGCCGCCCCGATGAGCTGGTAGGAATCTACGCCGGAGCTCAGTCTAATCCGTTCCAATGAACGAACTTGAGGAGGATCGGAGCCCGAAAGGTTGACTCAAAGAAAGAAGTGCCGACATCCGTCCAAACGCCGCCCCTGCGAGGACTAAAATCCTACATACC